TCGTACACTAGGCGAGTTGATATCATGAACTGAGTTATGAATATCGAAAGGGATTACGTGCCGCCGCCAGGAAGATGAAACGCCAAGTCAACAGACCCAAAGATAAATAAACACAGAGATACGGCTACATACCTATGTACATATGTACATATGTGAATACTCTTACATACGTATTTATGTACAGTTAAAGCTTTACGCGAATACATAACCGTGGAGACTGGGACGAGTATTCATACATACAAGTATTTGTAAGTGTACACTTGATAGGTGATCCAAATGTATGGAGGAGCTCTTTTTACTCCCGATTGGTGCCTACACACTTTTTGTCTCACCCGTTGTTAAGATCGGATATCACATTGTATTGCATTGCGGCACGTTTTGACAAGATAAGATCACGATGCATTTGAATTTGAAGTATGTACTTCATTTCATTTCTGACAGTTCTTCTTAGTCTTGGGTATGTTGCCGGGTGGCGGCGGCGCATGCTTGCCGCCAATGTTGCATCAGTTTTGTTTTCATTTAGGATAATGTAGTGTATGCACGAAATTTGCTGCAATGCAATGCGTCGCCGGGCACAAGCCGTATAAATGTAAACAAAATATTTAATTTCATTTCATATGTACATACAGTGACAAACAAAAGTATTGGCACAGTGAGTTTTTTGCAATATATGCAAAGTTTTTTTGTTCTAATTTATTTTCGATAATTTTTTATAAAAATATAGTCCATTTTACACCAAAAACCAGTTTTTAGAAAAATTCTAAGTATGCAGTTTTATAGCCCATTCAATTTAGTATAACAAAGTGCAAGTTTGAAGTCGCTAGAAAATCGCGTTGATTTTTGGCAATTTTTTTTAGTGGAAGGTGTTTCTCATTTTTCCATACAAAAAATAATTTTCGAATATACTTTGTATGGAAGAACTTGCGTGAAAAAAATTACCAAAAATCAACGCGATTTTCTAGCGACTTCAAGCTTGCACTTTGTTATACTAAATTTGAATTGGCTATAAAACTGCATACTTAGATTGTTTCTGAAAAATCTGAATAAAAAGTTGCCAATTAACCGAACCATCGAAATCAATTTTCTTGACAGAAGTAACTGAGAGCTTAATATGGTTCTAAGCAATGACGAAATCCCAATGTTCACCGATGGCCCCAAAATGGGATATTGCAACAGGATTTGGCGTCTTCGTTTAGTAATTATCCTTGAGAGAGTCCCACGAACTCCAAGCAGCGTTTTCCTTATTAAAATATGTCTTTTCAATTGACATGGCGATAAAGCTGGTAAACGTAATCGATGTAGCTCCATCTAAGCTCGTTTTTGTTGTAGACTTTTTCACATCCGGCGCTCCAACTTTCCGGCAAAAATCGATTACGCTGATCAAATTCTACTAGGCGCACAGAATGTCCAGGAAATATTTTTGACGACATTTTGTATTCTGCTTATAACTAGTATTGCCTCGCCAGACCCTGTGCGGTACACAGAGGCTACTCTTAAGGCTGCTGTTCTATTGGCTGAGGAAAGTTTCTTGCAACGGTTATTTTTCTGTAGGCTGTCAGCCCAGATCACCGCTCCGCATAACAAAATATTCAAGGTTGTGGACATTAGAAGTATCGTTTTACTTTGGGTCGGTTAGGAGTATTAGCTCGGTTTTCTCTGCTGCAAGTTTGAGACCGTGTGAGTCGATCAATGTTAAGCGGAATCGCCCAATATTGAAACATTTTAAATTTTGATAATTATTTTTTCTGAGTGAATTACGCACTTTTTTCAATACAAAAAAAAAAAATTCTCGCACATACTGGTTATGGAAGAAAATGCAAGAAAAAAATTTAAAAAAATTAAAGCAATTTTTTAGCAACTTAAAACTTACTCTTTATTCTGCTAAAATTTAAAGGGCTATCCAGATGCATAGAAAAATTAATTATTAAAATATAAAAGCTAAATCAAGGCGAATTTATATAAGGTGGTATCGGTTCAACAAATACAACAATTACTTGTATTTTGTTTTTGCTTTTAGCGGGCCATTGTCAAATTTCAGCTATTCTTCCCCAAAGGAAAAAGGGCGACAGAAAATACAAACACTCTCATGTTTTCACTCACTGGCTAGCGAAATAAACAAAATTTACAATCAAACGCTACTCACAGCTGATGAAACAACACCACCTTATATAAATTCGCCTTGAGCTAAATCTGAATTTCAATTCTGATTTGGCAAGATTTTTGAAGGAAAATATTTTTATTTGGTCTAAAAATATTTGTTTTTAACAATTTTATAGAAATCCTACGAAAAAATTTATTCTCCACATATCAAATAAATATTAAGATGGAGAACTTCAAAGCTTCAGCGACAGTGCTAACGTATTTCAAAATAAAAAATTGAGATCTCATTATTTTCCATTTTCTATAATTTTGGAGAGGTGGCAGCTAAAAACTTCCAAAATGTTGATCTTTCAGTGTATTTTTAGACCACCCTAATTTACCTACATATATATATATACATTGTGACCGTAGCTTTTAAAATAAACTGCTTAATAAAAATGTTAAATTAAACAATTTGAAATTTCTTTTCTTCTCTTTACAGCCACTTTTCTCGTACGAACTGCAACCTGAGTGCCACTGAATACTAAACTAAGGTGTATCAATATCCTTCTGCACACATGCATACATGCCGGATCGCTCTTATTTTAAAGAAAAACTGCACGCAAATAAACAAGCGCACACGAAAAATAACAAAATAGCCTACTGACAAAAAAATCTCAACAATTTGTATAAATTAAACAAGTAATTTTTAGCAAAAAAAACCGACTTGAAAAAAAACATATACATATATTTAATGATCCAATGATCGGATCTAAACCGGTAACATACACACAAAAAAAAATATATATTCCGGCGAAATCATAACCTCCTCCTTTTTTGGAAGTTGGTTAAAAAATTTGTGTTGAGTGCAAACCAGTTATGGTTAGTGTACTTTTGGCATTTGAATACTGCAAAGTGCATACAATTGAGATCTGCTATTTTTTGTTAATAGGATGATAAATACTTTTTTAAATATACACACATACATATATTTAAATAATGACTAAGTTAATTATTATGAAAGACGAACATTTGAATAAAGAAGAACAACTGAATTTCAATACTAGAAAAAAAGTTTATTTTTTTATAAGCCTGGTGGCCAAAATTTGGTTGAAGAGGATGAGGAGAAGACAATATTAATATATAGCTGCCAAAAGTATCATCTAAATCTCCTGAAAGCATTAACATGTTTTTTTTAGAACTATCCTTGTAAATAATTTCTGGGCGCCTGGTAAAATTTGTAAATGAAGGCTGCTGGAGTGCGGGATGTGAAACGTCGTAGTCCATCTTAAGGCGCAGAATACAAATTGTATTATTGTATTGGCATTTCTGAGCGCCTAGTAGAATTTTTCAGTTTGATGAGCGGAATCGATTTTTCCGGGAAGCTGGAGCGCCGGATGAGAAAAAGTCCAGCTTAGAAATGTAGCCCATCTAAAGGCGCAGAATACAAAATGTCGTCAAAAATATTTCCGCCGCCGCTTCCTGGGCATTTCTGAGCGCCTAGTAGAATTTGTCAATTTGATTAGCAGAATCGATTTTTGCCCGGAAGCTCGAGCGCCGGATGTGAAAAAGTCCAGCTTAGAAATGTAGCCCATCTATAGGCGCAGAATACAAAATGTCGCCAAAAATATTTCCGCTGCCGCTTCCTGGGCATTTCTGAGCGCCTAGTAGAATTTGTCAATTTGATTAGAAGAATCGATTTTTACCCGGAAACTGGAGCGCCGGATGTGAAAAAGTCCAGCTTAGAAATGTAGCCCATCTAAAGGCGCAGAATACAAAATGTCGCCAAAAATATTTCCGCCGCCGCTTCCTGGGCATTTCTGAGCGCCTAGTAGAATTTGTCAATTTGATTAGAAGAATCGATTTTTGCCCGGAAGCTGGAGCCGCCGGATTTGAAAAAGTCCAGCTTAGAAATGTAGCCCATCTAAAGGCACAGAACACAAAATGTCGCCAAAAATATTTCCGCCGCCGCTTCCTGGGCATTTCTGCGCGCCTAGTAGAATTTGTCAATTTAACCAGCGGAATCGATTTTTGCCGGGAAGCTCGTGCGCCGGATGTGAAAAAGTCCAGCTAAGAAATGTAGCCCATCTAAAGGCGCGGAATACAAAATGTCGCGAAAAATATTTCCGCCGCCGCTTCCTGGACATTTCTGAGCGCCTAGTAGAATTTGTAAACCTTTTCACATCCGGCGCTCCCGCTCGTCAAATTTACAAATTCTACTAGGCGCTCAGAAATGCCCAGGAAGCGGCGGCGGAAATATTTTTCGCTGCATTTTGTATTCTGCGCCTTTAGATGGGCTACATTTCTAAGCTGGACTTTTTCACATCCGGCGAACGAGCTTCCCGGCAAAAATCGATTCCGCTGGTTAATACTTTCAGGAGATTTAGATGTTACTTTTGGCAGTTCTATATTAATATTGTTTTTTCGTCATCCTCTTCAACCAACATTTCTCCACCAGGTTTATAAGAAAACAAACTTTTTTTTTCTAGTATTGAAATTCAGTTGTTCTTCTTTATTCAAATGTTCGTCTTTCATAATAATTAACTTAGTCATTATTTAAATATATGTATGTGTGTATATTTAAAAAGTATTTATCATCCTATTAACAAAAAATAGCAGATCTCAATTGTATGCACTTTGCAGCATTCAAATGCCAAAAGTACACTAACCATAACTGGTTTGCACTCAACACACATTTTTTGTTAGCTCTTCTCATCACTATAATTAATTTTTATTGCTTTTGAGTCTTCAATTTTATGTCAAATAATTAAAATTATAACTAGAAAAGTAAAATAAAATTTAAAGTAAATTTTATAATTAAAAAGCGCTTAAGAGCTACAGAAAAAATTCTAATTTTTTTCTTTGCTTAATCAAAGATTAGTCGAATTCGCTTGTATTTCCACTGTTTAGTACCGTTTTTTATATTGAAAAAAAAAAATCTAAAAATTGCGCTAACATTAAATATGCAACTAGGTTTTTAATTACGTAAACTATTGATGGAAACTATGATAAATAAAATCACTTACATTTAACAAAAAAAATTATTTATTTCAAAATATGTATAAGTAATTAAATTAAATGTATAATTTGCGCTTAATATACGTACTTTTTCGTAAGCAGTATTGTTTTTTTTTTGTTTTTGTAGAAGCAGTATTCGTTTCTCTGTCAAAGTGTTTGCATTAACCGCTATTTGCGTTTTTTATTAGGTATAGATTGATTTTAATTTGCAATGTCTTTATAGTTTATTAGATCGCTAATTAAACATTTTCCCTCATCTACAATGTTCGTCCGACCGTTCGACAAGCATTTACGTGTAAATTGCTAGCAGTATCAATAATAATTAATAAATTTCTTAATCAATGATCACAACTCTTATTAAATATTTATATAAAAAATTGTATTTTCATTTAGATTAGTACATAGGTACTCCCCTCGATATTTCTTACTTTTCTGTTTAAATATTTGATTGATTTAAGTGTAAATATATGAAAATATGTGTCGCTCTCTGCCAAATGCAGCTTTTTGTGTATGTATGTATGTATGTATGTATGTATGTATGCGTGTGCGGTTTTTCCACACCTATGTATGTATGTATGTATATCTACACTTTTTTATATTTTAATCATCGTTAGCAAAAAACTAACAGATATGAAATTCATAAGATTTATTTCCTTCTACAACTACAATTTATTTCTTTTAATTGTAAAAAATCTCTGAATTTATTTCTACGATTTGTCTCATTTATTTTAGAATGTTAACTTTACATTGTTTGATTTGTAGGCATTATGCATGGAGTGTTGTTGTTACTTGTGTGTGTGTGTGTTTTTTTTTTGATACTTTGTAGACTTTGCATTTTATTGGTGTTTTTTCTTCTTCTTTATATGTATGTATAATTATTTCTTATTTCTTTAAAATATGTATGTGTAGGTATACATACTATATGTAAATAAATATGTAAAAATCGCATTACATATGTGCATATGTATGTATGTATATCGAAATTATCGATTCGTGTCTGGATCGCATGTAAATCTCAGCATATTTTTATTTAATTTATACAATTTGTTGAGATTTTTTCATCAGTAGGCTATTTTGTTATTTTTCGTGTGCGCTTGTTTATTTGTGTGTAGTTTTTCTTTAACATAAGAGGGTTGCGGCATGTATGCATGTGTGCAGAAGGATATTGATACACCTTAGTTTAGTATTCAGTGGCACTCAGGTTGCAGTTCGTACGAGAAAAGTGGCTGTAAAGAGAAGAAAAGAAATTTCAAATTGTTTAATTTAACATTTTAATGAAGCAATTTATTTTAAATGATATGGTCACAATGTATATATATATGTAGGTATATCAGGGTGGTCTAAAAATACACTGAAAAATAAACATTTTGGAATTTTTGAGAAAATGGAAAATAATGAGACCTCTATTTTTTATTTTGAAATCCCTTAGCACTGCCGCTGAGGCTTTGAAGTTCTCCATAAAAATATTTATTTGTTATGGGGAGAATAAATTTCTTCGTATAATTTCTATAAAATTGTTAAAAATACATATTTTTTGACCGAATAAAAATATTTTCCTTCAGAAATCTTGCCAAATCAGAATTAAAATTCAAATTTAGCCTTTAAATTTTAATAATTATTTTTTCAAAACTTGCGTGATGTGGTTAAGAACATATAAAGTAAATAATTTTGTATGGCTATAGAAATGATAGATTATCGGTTATAAAAAGTACAGTGCTGGCAAAATAAATAGGGACACGACATTTAAAAACATTTTGCATATTTTTCTTTTGTTTATTTAATATTTATTATTTTTTACAGAGAGGCCTCTTATCTAACAAAAACCATATAAATTCATATTTCAAACTTTGTGCAAAAATTATGAAAATTCTGCAAAATTGCAACTAAATTTTCAACCTTTTAACCAGATATTTTTAGTATGCAGTTTTATAGCCCTTTAAATTTTTTAGTAGAATTAAGTGTAAGTTTCGAGTTTCTAAGAAATCGCGTTGATTTTTAACAATTTTTTCTCGCATTTTCTTTCATAAACAGTATTGTCGACAATTTTTTTTTTGTATGGAAAAACATTCGTAATACACTCAGAAAAAAAATCATCAAAATTTAAAATGTTTCAATATTGTGCGATTCCGCTTAGCATTGCTCGACTCGCACGGTCTCAGATTTGCAGCAGAGAAAACCGAGCTAATACTCTTAACCGACCCAAAGTAAAAGGAAACTTCTACTATCCACAATCTTGAATATTTTGTTATACGGAGCGGAGATCTGGGCTGACACCCTTCAAAAAAAATAGCCGTTGCAAGATGCTTCCCAGAGCCCATCGCACAGCAGCCTTAAGAGTAGCATCTGCGTACCGTACCCATTGATCTACAAGTAGCCGAACGCAAAAATAATGGGGGAGCTTAAGTCGCATACGAATCCAAGTGACAACGACCCATCACCCGCGAAAAAAAACTATATACTTATTTAAGAATATTTACTATTTAAAATACTTTATTTTCGTAGTAATTGAAAAATGCAAATGATATACATATCTATTTTTCTCACAAGCAAATTAGAAGAATTTTTCTTTTGTTTTTTGTATCCAAGTTTACTCTAGTATTTCGCAAACGAGCACAATAACGTCATAATTGGCACACACTACAGCTACCATTATACAATATGTACATACGTACATGCATACATACATACATACATACAGTATCGGTCATATCTATAGCACGCCATTTCAAAGTGATATTGTGTGCCACTTATGTTTATTTACTTATTTTAAAGAATTTTCAATTAAAATACCGTTTTTTATCTAACAAAATCCATATAAACCCAAGTTTAAAAACTTATAGAAAACTACAAAAAAGTGCAACAAATTTTAACCTAAATTTCAAACTTTTTTCTCGGAAGTGTTTGAATTTTTCTGAATACACAGTTTTATAGCCCAATCAATTTTAGTTTGATAATGTGCAAGTTTCAAGTGGCTAAAAGTTACCGCTGATTTTTTAGAATTTTTTTCGCCAAGGATGTTGCGGTTTTCTTCCATATACAAATAAATTGAGTTTATTCATTATATGGAGGCCAATACGACAAAAAAATTCTAAAAAATTAACGGTAATTCGTAGCCACTTGACCTTTGCACATTATCAGACTAAAATTGCAGGGGCTAAAAAACTGTGTCCTCAAAAAAATTCTATCACTACCGAGAAAAAAGTTTGAAATTTAGGTGAAAATTTGTTACACTTTTTTGTAGTTTTCTACAAATTGTTGAACTTGGGTATATATGGGGTTTGTCCGAGAATGAACAAAATTTTAATTGAAAATTCTTAAAAATAAATAAATAAACATAAGCGGCACACAATATCACTTTGAAATGGCGTGCTATAGATATGACCGATACTGTATATTCATAGTTATCACAATTATTGCTCTAGTTAGTAATATTGATATAACCGCTGTAATTACAGCTCATAATCACTGTTAACTATGGTTTGCTTTAAATGGTTCAAATGCATTGTTACAAACGTTCATAGTATATACGATATGTACAAACAAAAACAATTATTACTTAGATATGTATGTATGTTTGTAGGTATGCGCACATTTGACTACTCGTTCAACAGACCCGTCATATAATTAACGTTTAATAGATTAAATTAAAAACGGAGACGATCACTAATAAGAGAGCCGGTTTGGTGTGTCACTTTTGCCACTTGCACTTTTGTTCTTCTTCCCCATTGTTGTTGTTGCATCGTAAATGTCATATTAATGTATTTATCAGTAGCCGTGCTTGTGCGTAGGCGTGTATGTTTGCGCTGGGGCATTTTTAGGGGCTTCCGCTGTTGATAATTTTCACATCATTAAATGATTTTTGCATTTCATTCATTAAACAGAACCTACTGACAGCTTATACGGCTGTTGGCATACAAACAGCTGCATTGTATGTATATGTATATTAGGTACATGCATATGTGTATTGTATATACATACATATATTTTAATCAGATTTTTTAGAACTTTTTTGAGTAGGCAGATTTGTAGCCCAATCAATTTTATTATAATAAAGTACAAGTAGCTAGGAATTACCGTTGATTTTTGGCAATTTTTTCACGCAGTCTCTTCCATACAAAAATTTTTTTTCGAAAATACTTTATATGTAAAGAATGCAAAACACCTTGAACCAAAAAAGACAAATTTTGATTAGAATTTAATGGGCTGAAAAACTGCATACTCAAAAAAAATCTAGAAAATCTGATTAAAAAGTTGGATGAAAATTAGCTGAATTTTCGCGAATTTTCGAGAATTTTGCACAAAGTTTAGGAATTATATTTTTATGTTTTTTGTTGTAGAATGAACCATATTTTTAAATAAAATTGGCGGAAAAATAGAATAAAAATGGTTGTATATATTGTGAAAAATTTGCTGAGCCAATACTTTGTTCCGGCAGTGTAAATATGTATGTACATAATTATGAATGGGCCTATATATACATACATATTTAATTTTTGCAGCCATTCTAATTAAAAAATATTTAGCAAACAAAATACGAAAAGCAATGAAAAAATGAAATGCAATAAATTTAGAAGTTATTTGTGGCCATGTGCGTAGGTACATATTTATGTATGTATGTGTTAGATATTTTTTTATGTACATATGTCGCTTGGCTATGGCGCTCATTGAGCAAAAATTGCTGATAATGAATGAAAGGCACGCAAGCGCGGCATTTAGAGCAAATACATACATATGTACCTACATTTGTACGTGTCCCACATGTGGAGCAAATATACACACAATCTAACATGCCAAAACATTAATCTGGCCACAGCGCGTGTGATTCATGCAATTATTACTAGAAAGTGACAAATAAAAACAAACAAAGAGTTACCCATTCATTCATGCATATGGTATGTACATTAGGGTGGTCCAAAAATACATGAAAAAAATTACGTCGGAATTATTATGCTCTCATCCCCTAGGACTCTTCTATACCGAAAAACATGTACCCCAATTTTTTTTTTTTTTTTTTTTAAACAAAAAAAATATTTACAGATCGCTCAAAGCGCTCAAAGTTTTCCATGTATTTTATATGGAGAAAAAACAAATTTTAGTAGAAATGGTATAGAAGTATTAAAAATCAATATTTTTCGATCGGAAACTCTGCTTCTCTGCAGGAGGTTCCCTATAATAATACCCAATTGTTTATTTAACCATTTGTTCATAGTAACTATAATTTATAGGTCCATCAAAAATCTCCAAAAAACCCCAAAAAAATGCAATGGGGGCACCAATAAAAATCGTTGGTACTAAAAAATTTGTTAAATTAACCATTGGGTATTATTATTGGATGTCTCTTGAAGAGAACCAGAGTTTTCCGATCGAAAAATATCGATTTTCAAGAATTCTATACCATTTCTATGAAAAGTAGTTTTTTCCCCACATAAAATACATAGAAAACTTTGGGCGCTTTGAGCGACCTCTTAAATATTTTTTGTTTCCAAATTTAAAAAAATATGGGTTTATTTTTTCCGACATAGAACAATCCTAGGGGTTGAGAGCATTAAAATTCCGAATTTGTTCTTATTGAATCACCCTAATGTACATACATACATACATATATCCGGCTTAATTTGAAGCTGACAACAAGCGTTTGGCTACTGCTCTAGATTATAAAAACAAATTTTAGAGCAGTGAAACAAACACTTTTATTAGCGCACACTAAAAATTTTCTAGCAAAAATTATAATGATTTTGAAAAATTATTGTCGAAATTAAACACAAATTTTGCATACATATGTAGTGGTTTGCTATGCCCCTTCAAAAATCGCGACTATGTACTCCATGCATGTATGAAAAGAGTAATCTCTAAGCGTCAAGGAGTACTCAAAAATTAATAAAAATTAATCCCAGGGCAGGACCATATACTCCAGCTCTTCATTACATGCTACTCTGATGATAAAACCACTCCAACATATTAACAATGACATTGTTAATATATTTTTTCGTTTGTACACGCTGTTATTCTTCACTTCACAGATGCTTTTTCGCAATTAATAAAAACCAAAAACAAAAATAAATATAAAAAATTACATGTTGCCTCTGACGGCTTTCGAACCCGAACCTGCTGGGAGCTAACAAATAACAGTAAGCATTTCTACACGTTTATCTACAGCCAGAAATGCTTTCAAATGTTCAACTTCAATCACATTTCGTTAAAACGCGAGCAGTGATCGGGTAACAAT